GGTGACACTGAGCTAGCTCCCCGGCTGGGCGAGGGGCTTCCTTCAGGAGCGTGGGCAATGCGCTCTGAGATCCTCCAGCGGAAGGCGCGGGAGACACAGGGCCAATTATCGCTGACTGCCATGATGGTCAGGCCCCCGTGGCCGTCTCCAAAGCTCTGCCGGCTCAGCCCAGCCTGACCCAGGGCAGGTCCACGTCTGCAGCAGCTACACACAAGCCAGGTGAGGTGACAAGCCAGCCGGGGCCCCACCTGGGCGCAGTGATAAGCACGGCTTTGGGCAGGGCTGGACAATGGAGGTGACACCTTTTGCAGCCGTGACTCAGGCCTCTATGACATCACCCTGCCCACACGATGCTGCCTTCTCCAAATAGTGGGTCCAGCCTCTGAATCAGCTCCAAGCTCTGGGACTGTCCCTTCTTTGCCTCGCGGGAGCCAGTGTGTTACCCCTTCGACTGCCGCCAAGCACGCCAGGTGCATGGGGAGCAAGACAACGTACCAGCCATGTCTGGAGGGAGCACGCTGCCCAACGGAAGAGGCCTGGCTGGGTGGAGGATGCCTCCGCTGGACCCCCAACCAGACCAGATGCATCCAGGTGGCGGATGCACTTGGCCAACTGCTCAATGCATTAGGTCCTTCAGGATAGGGGTGGGCTATCGGATGGACCAAGTCTCTCCTGCGGGGGGAGGGGAGATGAGGAACCTACCCTGGCCGCTAACCTACCAGATTAATGTCCAACCTTCCAAGCTAGCAGGAAGGGTTTTAAAGCTTGCAAGCAGAACCCTGCAGCGGGACTGGGATCCTGCCCTAATAGCAGGAACAAGATTAAAAAATAGTCCCGTGGAGGACTCTATGCACAGACAATTAAGGCCTTTTTGATTGTAAGGCTCCCTGGTCCCCCATCACAGCCCTGCTGGTGCACAGGGACATTCCTTGAGAGAGAGGAGCACCCCCTACTGACCACACACACACGTTGCAGCATCTGGCTGGTCTTCCGACCGTTCTAGCACTGCTCCGGCTAGCCCTCATTTAGCGTGAAAGGTTTCCCGAGCGAGAGCCACCAGCAGGCCCCGGAGCGTGTACCTTGGCTCTGTCGGTGATCGTGCCCTTTCTTCCATATTCTGGCTGGTTCAGTAAACACGACCACAGCCTGTTAAGCAAACACGTGACACCGGGACCTTTGTGCAGGTTTCCAAAGATGAGCCAGTACCAGCAGCTGCCGTGGGCTGTAGTAAGAATCAGGCCCGGCGCGAGGACAAGGGGCCCGCCCGCTGCTTCGGAGGAACCGCGGCGCAATTCAATTCCCACCACCACATGGAGAGCCGCGGAGAGGCGACCTCGGAGCCAACGGAGGCTTCCAGCCTCAGCGTCCATTTTCAATCCAGCCTGGAGCAGGTGTAACGGAGCGGCGGGCCCGGGGCCAGCTCTACAATGATCTTGGTGTGTCTCCCTCAAGCACCCAATACTTCAAGGGACATCATTGGAAACTGCTGGCACCCAGCACCCGGGAAAGCCTGACCCCTAGTGGACAAAGGCACCTTCATCCCTGCAGTCTCTGTGTCCTGCTGCCACGACGGCAATTGGCCATTGTTGGGGGCAGTCTCCACAGAGCCCACGTACCCGATTTTCTCTCCAGTCCTTCCTTCCTCAGAGAGGGGGTGAGACTGAGGTGAACCCCCTTCTCCCCAGTGACCAGGCAAGGCCTACAGCCAGTCCCACAGATCTAGGCTGCATCTGTTCCTAGAATCATCTCATTGTGAGCAAATGCACCAGAATGTCCACAAGGTAACAGTCTAAATACAGGGCACTCGGATTCAGTTTTCCCGTCTATACAAGGAGAACACCCATCTCATGGGGACGGGGAAGGGAAGAGGGCAGAAAACACTACGCTCCTGCCCTGGGAAGCACACTGTACTATTACCCCCCGTAGAGAGAGCTGTGAAATTCATACATTTTAGATGTATGCAGTGTTGTTATAGTCACACCAGTCCCTTCTGTTCACCAGCAGCAGTTGGGCCAATAAAAGATGATCTCAGCTACCTTGTGTCTTTCTAAATGTTAGACACAGGTTGGGGGCAGGGATCATCTTTTTGTTCCGTTTGTACAGCACCTTGCACACAATGGGCTCCCGGTCGGTGACAGGGGCTACCACAATACCAATAAATAATGCTACCATTGTACGGTCCTGGCTCGACCAAAGGCTACACAGATCAGACAGGACCAGCCTCCTAGGACCAGGTCCTTCTAAACCAGTGGTTCTCCATCAGGGGCATGTGTACACAGAGGTCTTCCAGGGGGTACATCAACTCCTTTAGATATTTGCCTAGGTTTACAACAGGCTACAGCAAAAGCCCTAGCGAAGTCAGTACAAACTAACATTTCATACACTGACTTGTTTATACTGCTCTATATACGACACACTGAAATGGAAGTACAATATTTATATTCCAATTGATTTATTTTATAATTATATGGTAAAAAATGAGACAACAAGCCATTTCTCTGTAACACTGGCTGTGACACGTTTGTATTTTTAGGTCGGATTTTGTAAGCAAGTCGTTTTTAAGTGCGGTGAAACTTGGGGGTACGTAAGACAAATCAGACTCCTGAAAGGGGGACAGTCGTCTGGAAATGTTGAGAGCCCCTGTTCTAAGCAACCCCCAGCGGAACTTGAAAGGTAGAAAACAAAGCAAGATGTGTGCAAGGTGTATCTGTTGGTTCTCACCTGTTTGCCTGCAATCCATCCTACCAGAGATCACCAGGGACCAGGAGAGGCACCTGCAAGGGATGAGTAACTGTCTTTCTTCCCCATGCCAAGGCTCACAAGGAAAGCGCCCTTGTTTGGGACACTCAACACTAGGCAGGACAAAGCATTAATGCTGGGAAGTGGGATGCGCCAGTTAGACCTGTTAGTTCAGCTTCTCCGGCCCCCTCTTGCACACCCTTCGTGGAGCGGAGCTGCTTTGTTCAGTATTAGCGTCAATGGTTTCCTTGATCCTGCCAACTGCAACCCTCCTCAGTCAAAACAAAGGGTGGAACCGGTGGCGGCAGCGAGCCGTTGGGATGAGGGGGTGAGAAATCCTGCCTTGGAAACATTGTTCTTGTGACAAAGCTGCAGTGTTTGCTTTCAGCAGAGCCTGGGAGTTTGGGCCACCGACACGGAATTCTTGGATAACAAGACCGCTTTGCTCTGAGTGGCAAAAAACATAATCCTGCCACCCCCGTCAGGGTCCTGTTAGCAGAAGCCTGGTCGAAGGAGAAAAGATGAGGGGGCACGTAGGGAAGGTTCAGGGGTAGACGGCAGGAGACCCAAGTTCTTCCACCTCTGAGTGCTTGAGGCAAGTGACATCCGCTTTCTATGCCTCGGTTTCCCCATATGTGAAATGGGGATGGTTAGTTCCAGTGAGGGACTGACTGAAAGGTTCAATTCACGAATGGCCATGAAGCTCTCTTCGATTCCCATTTGGAAGGGGCTGGAAAGAAACTGGCGCAGATTAAATTGAATCACGTGCGTGTGAATTTAGAGCTGGTTTGACAGACCAAAGGCGTCTTTGCACAGAACAGGCTGGGCAGTAGCAACAGGGCAAACTGCCTGCTACATGCTGCCCTTGGGTATGGGCCTCAGACCTGGCCAATCCCTGCACTCTCTTCTGAGGTTGCCCAAAACACCCACTTCTATCCCCCCCAACCCAAGGTCCCATGCACCCATCTCCTCCAATGGGGACCTTCGTTGTGGTTTGCCCGGCCTACATTCATCTAGAATCATAGATCAGGGTTGGAAGAGACCTCAGGAGGGATCTAGTCCAACCCCCTGCTCAGAGCAGGACCAATCCCCAGACAGATTTTTGCCCCCAGATCCCTAAATGGCCCCCACAAGGATTGAACTCACAACCCTGGGTTTAGCAGCCCAATACTCAAACCACTGAGCTATCCCTCCCGCTATTCTTCCTGCCCAAGGCCAGTCAGGGCTGATGAAAGATGGCAGAGCCCCGCTCCACCACCAAATCACGGCAGACGTCGCTAGAAGGGCAATTCAGAGAACTGGCTTGTTCCTCGCTGCAGGAGGCCACAGGTATACTGCAAGATGGAGCTGTAGCAGAGAAGGCAGCATACTCACCAGGGGAACCTCCCGGGCCTGGTTTTAGCTGATGAAAATCTTTTTCAGTTGAAAAAAATAAGTCCCACTCCTGGGGCTCCTACTCTGAATCTTCTATCATTATAAGCAAGCAAGCAGTTTGGGAACGCAGGTGCCTCCTGCCCTTGCTGGAAGCTAGGCTATGTATTAAACATTAACGTTCTGGGGAAGAGGACAGCACCCTAGACAGGGCGGCTCAAAACTCATCAGAAGACAGCGGCCCATCCACAAAGCTACAGACCCCCTTGAATTCTCGCTCAGCTCTTGATGGCTGTAAAGGTGTTTTACTCTAGACTCATCCCAGCTAATCCACTCCCCAGAGGCGAAGGCAGTGTTATACGCCACCCATTCTGCAATGCTTTGGGCAGCCAGGTGTTTCAACACTTCAAATCAGCCGGCATGGTGCTGAGCAGAGAGCCCTGGATGGGGAGCTTCAAGGATCTGGGTTCTATTCCTGGCTGTGCAACTTTGGGCAAGTCACTTACCCTGGGTAGGGCTGTTTCTCTCCCATCCTGTGTCTTAGAGTTTAAGCTCTTTGGCCACGTCTAGTCTAAAAAAAGTGGATTATTAAACTCATAGTGTAGATGAGGCGTGGTGTAGTTCTCCCATGTGGCAACTGGTCAAGGGGGACCCTGGAAGGAGGGTTGGAGTAACCCACAGTAGGATTTGAACAGATGTTAAACACATGCCTTCACTAGGATTAAGGGCTTGGTATACTTTTTCAGCTGTATCTTCCTCACTGCCCCTGCTGGCTGATGGTGCTACAGAGCCTCTACACCCACTGGATTTACTGCAGTTATAGGTATGGCTCCTGAAACCCACCAGTCCGACTGTGGGACTCACTGGTAGGAGAAGAGACAGACTCACTCTGTGGTGTTCATTTTATTATAAAACCCTTGGTGCGTACAGTCACACACTTCTCAACAGAGTAATCAGAAAAACAGAAACACGGCGGTCAATTGCTCACCAAAATAGAACAACGTAGCCAACATTCTCTCTAGGGCAGGCATCTTTCTATGGGGGTTCATAGGCCGCCGCTTGGCTGAGAGGGAAGGGCACTAATACACCTGCATAGAAAGGAGGTCTCCGTTACCGTCACTTGATCAATCCTCTCAGTGACAGTTGCAAGAAGCATAAAATGCTGGGGAGTGAGGGTGATGGGCTGATCCAAGATCGAGGAGGATTGCGGCATGAGGAGATCTGGCCACATGTGACTGGCATTCGGCAAGCAGGGGTGATGCTGCAGAAAGGCTCTCACCCCCACACTCCTTGGGCGTTATTAGCGTTCTTGTACCGCAGCTGCGTCTGGAACTTAATTACAACAGAACCGGAGAGGTCTTTGCTCCAGATCTGCTGAGAAAGGGTTAAAAAAAACACCTCAAGAAAGCGACTGGCCACAAGAATGATACAAATCCCTCCCCTGCCAGCACTGAACCGGTGGCCCAGTCACTTGATTTGGAGGGTTGATCGCTGCTACTCCGAGTACACTGTAGTTCTAAGCTCTGGGTGCTGGCTGCATTTGGCTTTCCTCAGTTCTTCTTGGTCTTGGGGGTATCGTATTTTCTCTTGCTCGAGTACCACAGCAGCAGAGGGATTCCGATGGAGGGAAGAGTCATCACACCAAAAGCTGCCCAGTCGAGCTAGCAGAAGGGGAAAACCCATTAGAAGTAGAGCTGAGATGGGTTATGCATAGCTAAATTCCCAGCGTCTCAGACCTGAGCCCCCCTGCCCAAGCGTTTTGATCCGACCCCTACAACACAGGCTCATTCCTAGAAGCGAGTCTAACGGACCATGATGAATTAATTGGCACTCTTCTTGCAAGAAGTTGCCCCAAAAAGCTTAGGAGCCACCGTGGGGATTTCCCAGGCGGCTTTTAATTTAGTGTCTGGGCTTCTGCTTTCACGCCATGAGCCAGCGCACACAAAAAAGGTCAACGCGGATTTGAACAGTACAGTCACTGGGAGACAATGGATTATTGGTTTAATGGTACTTACAAAGTGAGGGGAAAACCTCCTGTCAAACTCTCTCTGAGCCAGGATTCCTCCCTGCCCAGGGGCACTGGTGAAGCCAACCTGAAATGGGGGGAAAAGAAATAGCATTTGCCCACCATTCCTGGCACTGCAGGTGCTCCGTGGCAAGCACTATATAAGAGAGAGGGACGATCTATCATCCTCGATGGTTGTGTCTAGGAGCACACACTGTGCGTCTCTGCTGTGAGATCTGCCGTTAGGATCCTGTACACGATCAAGTTCACAAGAAAGGTAGTAGCCACTCACCACAACCTGCCCTCCCTCCTGTGCCAGGTAGGTGATGGTAGCCGAGGTGAAGTTGAAGTAGCCGGCTTTGAGGGGCCTCAGGACCACAGTGTGAGATACGTTGCTGGCTCTGTGTAGCAGATGGTTAAGGAAACGAATTGCATTTTGTTCCGGGGAGCAAGACTCAAAACACAGGGAGGGGGTCTAACCAGCAGGTTTGAAATCTTAAACGACCTTCAACTACAGATTCGGACCCTTACAGGGCCAACTCATCTATTCCTCCTTCCCTGACAGATGAATGGAGTTCCGTGCAATTTAATGCGAGGGGCGGCTATGTGTTGTGTGACCCGAGAACTAGTTCTTGTTCGCAAGGACACTGGAGATCCCAGGGCACTTGATTGGGATTTGCCCTCGGAGCCTTAGCCAGATGTCAGGTGTGCTTGCATTTCAGGGATGATGTATGGAGTTGGACGTGTCTTGGTATCCTTGGGCATCAGCAGGGACAAGGGGGAGCCGAAGAACTGACCCAGGACATGGCATATGGGGAGATTGTTTCGAACTGCAAAAAGATACGGCGCAATCCTGTCCCACTTGACGTTAAGCATTCCAGAGACAATGCCAAAATCTTCCGGGGGGAAAGAATCATCCGACAACTCCACATCCAAAGCCGCGCTAAACACAACAGAGAGAGGGGTCAGGAACAGAGCCGAGGGATGCGTTAGCTGGAGTCCCACTGGGGGTTAGACTAGATGACCCTTGCGGTGCCTTCTAACCCTATGATGCTACTGGCTGTTTCACAAACAGAGGAAAGTTCAGTGCTAGCTGCTGATCTGGAGTAAAAAGCCACAAAGATGAGAGTAGAAGGAAGACAGCGTCAAGGAGAAATGATTGCCGAGCAGGACGAGCTGGACCTGGGGCATAAGAGGGAAGAGCTGAGAGGAGCCATGAAGCGGAGGACAAGGAATTGGCTGTGAAAAGAGCCCAGGAAGCCAATGGAGGTCTATGCACGTGAGGAGGGGAGCCCCGCATTGGGGATATGAGTGACAGGAAAGGAAGGTGATTTTCAACTGCAGCATTTTGGACACCGGTGGATGATGATGCAGTCAAAGACACACGTGATGAAGGCAGGGACCAGGGCTGGAACAGAGAGGAAAGGGTGAACAGGGGGATTAGAGAGTGGAGTGCCAGAACTTGGTAAGAGTTTAGACATGAACTTTGGGGGTGAAGGGGAGATAGAGAGAGAGAGAGAAGTCAAGGAGTCTAAAACAGCATCACAATGAACATTGATTTGTTCCCATACACAGGAATCCACTGAGACCCTTTCACAGCCTCCAGAATCTCATTCCTCCCCCACGCCCCAAAAAACACCTGCACACTTTAGTCTCATTACCCTCGAAGCCTCGTATAATGCCCCTTCCCGAGTGGGCCTGATAGGGGGCTCATACACTGCAACTTTACTCCTACTCAAGTCAACAGTCCTATGGACTCCAGTGAGAAAACAGCGGTAACAGAAAACCTTAGGTGATCACAGTGGACCCTCCTGGACTTATAATCTATGAATAGAGATTCTTCCCCTCTATTCGCTCCTGCCCCAGAGTGCCCCTCCCTCCAGAGGGGATTTGGGAGAAGTAAGGGAGGAGCTTGAGAATGGTATTTACTCTAGATGTCTCCCTCCTCCCCGAGCTAGTGAAACACACACTGCAGACACACACCTCTAACACTCCGTGTCCTTCAGGGCCAGGCATCTGATAGATACCAAGAACACAGACAAACCTTACCTGGAGCCAACATTGTAGATGTTGTACTGCAGAGTCAGGTCCTTGCCCTCCACTGCATATCTGTTTAACAGAGATTTAGAGGCGAGTAGCCTGGCTCCCTCCTCGCTGTGAGCGACAGACAGCAGGGCAAACACAGCAAGAGCTAACAGCTTCATCTGGAAGGGGAAAACATTCACGGTTAATGCCCGAGTTTCTACAGAGGAAAAATTGGAGGTGGCGGCCTTCTGGAGGGGGCAGTAGCAGACCGAAGAATAGATCCATAAGTGCAATGCGTTATGAAGCACAGACAGCTGTGTGGTTTAAGACATCATACATGAAAGCATCATACCATGGAGGAGGGAGGGATCAGTCCCGTGCAATTGCACCTGTAATATTTTGGACACTTCTCTACCAGAATGAGACAACTGCAAAGCAATGACCTGATACCGGGTTTCTTTTTCCCTGGCTGCTCTGTGAATGTGTGGTAAATTTATTAAAGAGACAGGCTGAGCACGGTAATACCTTTTATTGGACCAATGCCTGTTGGTCCAATAAAAGAGATTATCTTACCCGCCTTGTCTCTCTGATATCCTGGGACCAACCTGGCTGCAACAACCCTAGTATATTTACTGTTATTTAACATCATTAAAGGCATTGAAAGCATTAGGACACTCATTTTGTAAAGACAAGAAGCTTCTACAAACATAGAATCATAGAATATCTGGGTTGGAAGGGACCTCAAGAGGTCATCTAGTCCAACCCCCTGCTCAAAGCAGGACCAATCCCCAACTAAATCACCCCAGCCAGGGCTTTGTCAAGCCAGGCCTTAAAAACCTCCAAGGATGGAGATTCCACCACCTCCCTAGGTAACCGATTCCAGTGCTTCACCACCCTCCTAGCAAAGTATGTTTCCTGATATCCAACCTGGACCTCCCCCACTGCAACTTGAGACCATTGCTCCTTGTTCTGTCATCTGCCACCACTGAGAACAGCCGAGTTCCATCCCCTTTGGAGCCCCCTTCAGGTAATTGCTATCAAATCCCCCCTGACTCTTCTCTTCTGCAGACTAAATAACCCCAGTTCCCTCAGCCAATCCTTATAAGTCATGTGCCCCAGCCCCCTAATCATTTTCGTTGCCCTCCGCTGGACTCTCTCCAATTTGTCCACATTCCTTCTGTAGTGGGGGGACCAAAACTGGACCAATACTCCAGGTGTGGCCTCACCAGTGCTGAACAGAGGGGAATAATCACTTCCCTCGATCTGCTGGCAACGCTCCTACTAATTCAGCCCAATATGCCGTTGCCTTGGCCTTCTTGGCCATGAGGGCACACTACTGACTCATATCTAAGACCAAACAAAACCTTTCTGCTATTTCTCCTTTGAAATCCAAAGGAAACAATTTAACACACACCGCAACAACATTCCCCTGCAGTGTCTGCAAACAAACACTGCAGCATTGTGCTAGCACCTGAGAATTGCAACTGACTAAAAATGACCTTGAAAATGACTAGCCTATATTCAGATGACAGAAAAACAAATGGCTTAAAGGTTTGTTTTTTAAAGTCATCAATTTAACATCAGCTGTTAGCAGTAGAACAGAGAACATGTTATTTAAGACAAAGTTAACTTGAGGGCCCATTTAAAGAATTCACATATTTCCTATCTTTACTCTCACACACAAATATTCAAACATCAGTCCGATCCCATCCAAACACCGTTTGGTTGGGGACCCTTCCAAAGGGCACACTCCTTTTCTTCAGCCCTGGCACAAACCTCTTCTTCCCAGACAAAAAAAGATATATGAGAGAGCTCTGTCCTGATGATCTGACACCCCACTAAGCTCCTATCACCGCTTTGTCTTTCTGTACCCATCCTCTCTTTTGATAGCAGATAACCAGACCTCAAAAAACCTGAAATCATAGCCAATATAAACCCCTGTCCAGATGTCTCTCAGGAAACCTCTCATCCTGTAGGTTCTGAGATTTCTAGGCTACAGCGCCATGGTCTTCCCTAGCCACAACAAAGTATTGAGCAATTGGCTAATACAGTGATTCCTAAACAGTGGTCTTAGATCACAGAACCCTCCCCAGTGGCTTGTGAAATTATATTTTGATAACCAAGGAGTGAGGGGTTGGGTCTGGGAAAAGATCCATCTAACACATCTTGGGCAACAGCATGAAAGGGCTGGAGAACCTGTGATCTACCTTAAATAAAAGTATGAAGAAGGGGCAGCTAACTGTGCAGCTCTTTCACTCCCATCTCCTGCTCAGCCCCTGTACACAGCACAGTCCTGTCTTCTCCCACCTCCTCCTCCTCCTGCAGCCACAGATCATTGCTTCCTTATGCCCAGTATAGTTCTGCCTGTCCCCAGCCTCTGTGGGGCAGCAGCTCCTCCTACCAGGCAGCATCAGGGTCTGGCTGCTACTCTCAGCCACGTGTCTCCATTTCCCTGGCACTTCTGGAGCCAGAACGGGCAGCAAGTCAGGAACCCCACAGCCTGCTTATAGGCTGCCTGGAGGAGAACTTCCCCAGCTGCCTTTCCTCCGTGGAGCGCTGACGTGTCAGAGACCTCCCCTATGTACCCCCCCAAACCCCCACCCCTGGGTCATCCAAACCTTCCTCCTCCACAGGCCCCCCCAGACCCCATCTTCCCCCCCACCCACACAGCTCCCCCCAACCACCGTCCCCTGGGATCCCGTCCAAACCTTCCTTCCCCCTCAGACCCCCCAACCCCCACCTTCCTCCCACTCCCCTCCGGATCCCCTCAACCACTCCCCCCCAACCAATCCACC